TTTTTTGTGTGTGTGTGTGTGTGTAACTGGGGATTGAACTCATGCCCTTGTGCCTGCCAGGGAAGCACTTATTCCACTGAGCCATCTCCCCGACCCCCTTCGATGGGCATTTGGATTGTTTCCAAGATTGAGCTATGACAAGTTGTGTTGCCGTAAACATGGGTGCACATGTATCACTGTGGCGTGCTGTTTTCAGCTCCAATGAGGATGGCGGGCAGGACAAAGCTCCGCAAGGTTCTCCTCATGATGGTAGTAGGACAGTGTGGGGCTCTCCAAGGCTCCCCAATAGTGGATGGGTAGGCTGCAGCTCAGTGTGGCTCCCACCACAGTGGTGAGAGAACATCTCACCAGTAGCTGTTGGTGGCTCAGCCTGTCTTCTGTGATGGTTGCAGTATAGTTTTAATAGATATGTCCCTTAGATGGCTTTTGCTTTATTCTCTGTGTTTATAGCTTATATAATTTCTATTATATAACTAGGGTTTTTTTAGAGCTCTGCATAAATTTATTTGAATATAAGCTATACTTTGGTAACATATTTTGTAGTTTATCTTTTTATTTTGTTTGAGGTAGGTTTCACCAGGATGAAATGTTACATTTACTTATGAGCTTATCTAAAGCATAGGGTTTTACATAGGAAAATTTTATTTTAGGTAATGCTTCAGCATGTGCAAAAATATCTTCCACCTCTGGAAAGAACATGAGAAATTGGTAGTATTTCTTGATTGCCTTTGGGTAGCTAGAAGTGCTTATCTCTTTGAGTTGTGTTGTGGGAGGGTCTGCTTTTCCTTTTTCTCTTTTGATATCATCAATAACTTCAGAACATAAAGAAGAAAACCAAAGCAAAACCTGCTGCAGAAATAAGACATAATAACCCAGATGCCAGTAAATTAGTTTCCATTCAAGAAGAGCAATCTGTACCTTCCTCAGAGAAAGGTGGCATTAGTGGTTACCATGTCAGTGGTGTCATCGATGATGCTGAGTCTGTGGACCTGCTCAGCAAAGGTTTGGAGACACTGTCAGTAGAGGCCAGAGAGTCAGAAGAGCCTGAGGCGGCCATGCCAGATACACTGGACAGAACAGGTAAGTTTATTAGCAGATTTTTCAAAAGTTACATTCAGTTGAAAATTACAAGGATTGCAGGTCACACAGCATTGGCTCCCCCTTGACACACTCTCCCCTATCCACTCTGTGGGCCTTCAGCCTTAGGACCGGGAGGCCAGGCCAGAGCCCACAAGTCAGAGGTCCAGAGAAGGCACACTGTGACTGTGACCCACAGGTGGCGCCTGAGGAGTCACTTCCACTCTGCACGCATGGCTGGCTCTGAGAGATTGGAAGGCTACAGAAGACCTCTTGCTGAGGAAGGTGCCCTTCAGCCACAGGGTAAGAAAAATACGTGCTCAATTCACTGGTGGTGTGGACTTCAGCTGGCAGGCTCAGGCCCTGCTAGCCCTTCAGGAGGCCACAGAAGCATTTTTAGTTCACGTCTTCAAGGATGTTTACCTCCTCGCCTTGCACACTGGCTGAGTCACTTTGTTCCCCAAGGATGTACAGCTGGCCAGGAGAATGCATGGCACTCAGGAAGGACTCAGCTGCTGGCCCACTGCTGTCTTCAGAAGTCCTTCCTGTCCAGTAGAGAGATGATACCTAGGATTCTGGAACCACAACTAAATCCAGTGATATCTGCGGAGTTCCCCGGCCCTTGCCATCTCTGTCTGAGCAGGGTGTACGTGTTGCCTTTGACATTTTCTTTATGAAGGAGAAGACTGAATGACTTCTTCTGCAGCAGAGGTGCTGTAGGAAGAGCAAGCACAGCTCCAAAGGCCTGCGAAGCATTTGCCGGCAGGAGACTCTGCAGTCACCTTTGGTTTGTAGTGACTCATATGACTACTCAAGGATTTTGAAGACATCTGATCTGCTTTGCTGTGGAAAAAAGGATATTTACTTATTGTTTTGGGTTTTTCTGTACTATGTACTTTTTTTTACCATATATAAATTTTGTACTTTTACTTAAAATATAAAGGAAAAAATAAGAGAACATTTGAAAAAACTGGAATGCATTGAATGGCTGGCCTGGCACTTAGTGTACTGATCCCTTCCTTTCAGATTCATAGTTTTTCAAAGTTGAATTGAGATTAAAATAGACAAAAATTTTTTTTTTCTTTTTTGATGTTAGGAATCAAACTGAGGGCCTTGTACATGCTAAACATACACTTTCCCATGGAGCTACACCCCATGCCTGAAATAGAAAAGTCTTTAAATCTTTGTGGTCTCTCCTAGTAAATTCCAATTAAAATATCAAAATCATTCAGAAATTCTAACTCATTGAACTTATCAATCAACCCAGGATTTTAAAGTGTCTTCTCAGTACATATATTTGTATAGCTTCTTTTTGGAAAGATAATAAAAGTAATTCTTTAGTGAAAAAAATCAAAATGAAATTACTGTTGTAGTATAAAGAAATTGTATGGCATTTTTGTGCATTAACATTGAGTCCTTTGGATTTTATCCCCAGCATTCTCAAACATTTATTTTAAAAAGCTGAACATTAAGTTTCTGTTTTGTGCAGCTTACAGTCACAATTTTAAAAAGAGAATTGAAGGAGGTGGTTTTGCTTCCAATGAAGTAGAGATGAGTGGCCCTTCTGTTGTCACTGAAAGCAATTTGAGAGATTTCCCCCGAGGAGTACCACACCCCAGACTGGAGAGATGTGTGTGGGTAAGTGATGAGTGAGTGCACACTACAAATAAAGACGTTCGTCAACCAAATTCAGGAACAGACCAAAGGGAAGCAAGAGTGTTACTGCTTAATAAATAAATTTTAATCCTTTGGGACAACTTCCTGTTTAATATCAAGTCATATTTTGTGCAGATGTTCAAATAAAGCTTATCTATCTATAAATATTAAATATATATATATAGTCCTCCTGGTTCAAAAGGCAATCAGTAAATTAGATGTAACTGGTCTTTGCTCCGAATGCCTTCAGGGCAGGTTTGGCTGGCTTGAGTTGTGGGGATCCAACAACAGCAACCTGAGCGTAACTGCTTTGTTGAAGCAGCCACTTAAAGAACTGAGCTAAGGGGCAGGCCCCCCAGATGTAACTGGTCTTTTACTAGTTTTTGTTGTCTTTTGTATAGAAGAATAGCAGTTTATACTTATCAGAGGCCTAGAAAAATACAGTTCTTGTTCCCTTGTCTCATATTTCAACACCTACTAATCATATGAAAAGTTTCTAACCTAATAGCAGAGGGGTAGCTTAGTATTTAGAAAAAGCAGAGACTTTACTACTTGTTTGGGAAAATGCTGATGAGATAATTTTGCTTTCTAATCAAGAGTTAAGATCCATAATAGCTGTCAATTCACACATCTAGTACATTTTTGTCAACAATGTTGTTGTGTTGGGAAGATACTTAAGACTGCTTGGCCACACCACAGGCTGTGCCTGCCCCCGCCTCTGGGCACACTGAGCTGGCCACTGAGACCCAGCGTGGTGGTGGTGGCACATGCCTATAATCCCAGCTCTGGGGAGGCTGAAAACAGGAGGATCGCTATGAGTCCGAGCTACATAGTGAGACCTTGCACCAAATTAATTAAAAAAAGAAAAAAGACTGCTTGACTGATTTAATTCAACACTATGCTCTGAAGCTCTGGCTTTTTCTTGGATAGGATCTGTTCTGGAGAATGGTGTCTCCACCTCTGAGCCCAAGCCTCTGACTACCTATTCTATTCAGAATGTGTTCAGCACTCCAGGAATGCTGATAAATCTCCATCAAGACCCACCTTGTGACCTCACTTTTCAAATCTTGGGATAGAGGATGTTCCATTCTCCTCTACCAATAAAAAGCCTAAGTAATGCAAGGTCCTACCTGCGAGAGAATGAAAAATCTGATTCTGACCATCCCATAGACAAGGTTTCAGAAGGGCATCAAGTAATACTTTTCCTGTTTTCCAGACTGTAGTTCTGCAACACGTTTGACCTCCATGTGTCCAGCTGGAGTCTTAAGTGTGTTTCAGATGTTATAGCATCTTGTTAGAAGGACGGGGGCTTCTGTATAACTCACAGGCAAGCTTAATTGCCAGGATGACTTAGGTAACATTAACCTGTTTTCTTTGCTGTAACATTTCCATGCTATTTCCTCCATTTTTATCTCCTGGCTTACTCAAACAGGTCAAGAACCTTCATCTCTGACATGACACCCCAAAGAAGTATTTTTACTGCGTATTCTTATGCTGACTCTTTTTTATAATTTAATTTTATTTATTTATGTGCTTTTTGTGGCTGGCTCAGCATGTGGTGCTGGGGATTGAATCATGGTCCCTGTGCTTGCCTAAGCTTGCCTAAACAGGCAATTTAGTCTGCTGAGCTATCTTGCTGGCCCCTTATACTGATTCTTACCAGGTGAGTAGTTCCTGTTTGTCTTTTTTTTTTTTTTTTTTTTTGTAATTTTTTTTAGGGAAGGGTCTGCAGGGTGAGATTACTAGGGTCTCACTACTAGGTCCTCCCAAGAGCTGGAATTACAGGTAGGGGGCACCACACCCAGTCTCAATTGCTGTCTCAGTGTGACCTGGGGGTGGGTCCAGCACCAGCGTGGCAGGCCTAGGGATCAGAACCTCAGCCCCCGCACCTTCTTGCAGGTGCTTTACTCTGCTGAGCTATTGGCCTGCCCTTTCCTCTTGTCTTGAAGCCTGGCCTTCAGTGAATGCGCCTCCAGCCACAGTTGTCTTTTCTGCATTGACCCCTGTAGGGCTCAACTGTGTTTGACTGCCTACAATATTCCTACCTAACTTAGCTATCTATAACATTGCCCATTCTGGAGAAGTACCCCTAAGTTCCATGAGGGGCAAAAGTTGAAAACTGATCTGGCTACTTCCAGCTGAAGAGGGTGATGGTTGTGATCTTCAGTCAGATACTCCACAGGGGATCTATCTAAAGGTCATCAGTAGACCATGTATTCTTTTGAGCAGATGTACACCTTTAAGTCTGAAGGAGATAAGGCCACAAAAAGTTAAGTATGTGTGGGCCAAGTAACAAAATCAACAGGATAATTATGAATATAGCCAACAAGTTTTTCCACCAGAAGGAACCAGTAGTAGCTTTCCATAAAGAGGTGAAAGGGAAGCTCCAGTGAATTTCAGAATCTGGCATGTCATTAACCTGTCTAATATCTGGGACAGTTATTGAGACACTAGCAGAAGGATCAGGAATCTGCACACAACATTCATCTTTTATAATTGTACAAGTACCTTCTTGTGCTGCTGTTAGGATGTCAAATGGCATCTGATTTGGGAAGAAGGCTTGCCTCACTGACTTTACTTCACTGAGGAGAGGGAGACCAGCCAGCACCCCTGAGTATAGTTAGTTAAGGCCTCCATATGCTGCGTGACATCCTGTAACCCTAGGGAAGGGAAAAAGACAGAAGCCAAACAATCATATCAGTATAGCACACTTGTAGACCATCAGTGCTGTAGGCAGCATAAGTTTGCAAGTTTGGCTATACTTTTGACACTTCTGTGTTGTAGTCATGCAGATTCCAGCATGCATCTTCCTATCCATCCAGGAAGCAGCATGGCCACAGATTGGTTCTACAGGACCAAGGATTCCCATCTAATTCCAGAGTGATTAGGCCTGTTTGTTACAAACCAATCTTCAACATGCAAAGTTATTGTGTATATTGTATACTTTGCTCAAGGGGTATCCATCCTACATACTTGGAGCTATTCTCCAATGAGAATAGGAGTGATTCTTTTTTTTTTTTTTTTTTTTTTTTTTTGCCAGAACCGGGGATTAAACTCAGACCCTTGCACTTGCCAGGAAGCTCTTATTTTACTGAGCTAACTCCCCTGCCCTAGGGGTGATTCTTCTGTTCCCCACATAAGAGGGCTTTTCTACTAAAATGTCCTATAGTAGAAGTTAACCATAATCATCCCATATCTGAAAATAGCCATCTTAGAACATATCTATGATTGTTGGCCCTCAGGATAGGACCCTTACTTTTATTGAATAGGGGTCCTACCAAAGCCTTTCAAGATGCTTCAGTGGCATAATAGAAAAGCTCTATTATGTCCAGGATCCCTGAGTATAAGTTTATAGGTCACTCATCTTGTGGTGGGCTGACCTATGAACCATCGAACTCTTTAATAATTCATCGATATAGTCTGATTGCTTATTGCACTTAGCTCCTTGGAGCAGGGATGCCCACCAAGGAAGTCCAGTTGTATTGGAGCAGGGAACAGGCCACATATCCAGCAAGATACTTGTAATGATTCTGTATATTCTTGTGCCCACCTTGGAAAGGAATTACATTCTCCCTTAAGTGGTAAAGTGATCAATAAAAGGGCTAAGAGTAACATCTTAGATTACTTACCTGAAGGCTTTGTGTTTTCTTGAGCAAGAATTGTAAGTCTTCTGTGGGTTCACAGCAGTGTTCCAATGATGGCTGCTCGCACTCACTCAGCGACAGTCTCGGGTTCCCAGGACTTGAGTGGGTGTGGTATATCCAGGAGTCCTGCTACCTTAACAACTGATGGAGTTGACGGATCACAGTGTATGGTTCTTCCCACATTGGTTCTAGGGAAAGGAATGATGAGGGAAGAGATTTTAAGAATTACTTCTTAGGGCCTGCCAAATAGCTCAGCAGATTAAAGTCCTTGCAAGTAGGCACAGGGGCCAGGGGTTCATGCAGGAGCTGGGGGTTCAATCTCCTGCCCCAACCCTGGGGCGTGCTGAGAGGGCAAATGAGACTGAGCATGGTGGCGCGCACCTGTAATCCCAGCTCCTATGAGTCTGATCTAGTAGTGAGACCCTGAACACCCTGTATACCCTTCCCTAGGATACAAAAAAAAAAAAAAAAAAATCTATTTTTACAGGATAAAAACTTGAAAAACAGAAGTCTGTAGTGTTCCTAAAAAAAAAAAAAAAGAATTTTTTTTTTTTCAGAACCTGGGATTGAACTCAGGCCCTTACGCTTGCCAGGGAAGTGCTTATCCTAATGAGCCAGCTCCCCAGCCCCAAGAATTACTTCTTAATATAAAGAAAGTTTGAATATAAGACAATTCTGACCATCTTCCCCCATTTTTACAGTATGATTCTAGTTGTAAAATAGCGTCCTTTATTTATTTATTTGGTACAGGGTCTTGCTACACAGCTCAAACTTATAGAGATCCTCCTGTCTCAACCTTCTGAGTGCTGGGATTACAGGCATGTGCCACCATGCCCAGTTTCAGTGGTAGGCGAGGCATGTGGTACTGGGTCCCTGTGTTGCCAGGCAAGCACTCAGACTGCCAAGCTATCTCCCAGGCATAAAATATCACCATAATGAATGCTTCACTCTGCATTCCATTTTGGCTCTAAGGGTAGTTAGGCAATGCACATGTGCAGAAAAATATCAAATGGCTCCTTTTCAATACATATGGGTTGAACCTCTTCCAGTGCTTAAGAGTGCATTTCAAAGGAGTAAGAGAAATTGACATTGAGCCCCCTGTGTCCCCATCTAATCATCTCAGTGGAAAACCTCCAAATGAAATAGAGGAATGAAACTCCCCACCTGCTAGACATTCAAGATGCCAAGTTAGTGTTTTCTAAAATCGAGGAATGAATTCTAGGAACAATGAGTTGGAAGGATTTATTGAGAAAAAGAAAGCTGTCTGAAAGGGACAGAAGGGGGCCCAGAAAGTAGATTGCCCGAAAATATTTTCTAAAAAAATTTGTACTACTGAATTTCTTGGGGCTGTGTGTGTGTGTGTGTGTGTGTGTGTGAGTGTGCGTGTGTGTAATGCTAATGTGCATTGTGACTACTCAAAAAGGTATGTACCATGCTACATTTGGGGGATGAAATTCATGCTGATGTTTTCTAGGACACCAAAGGTGTTTCAACTATTAAATGCTAAGGTGTCATATATGTAAAGCACAACTGTTTTTGAAAATAAAAAGATTTTAGAACCAAAGTAATCAAAATGACAGGAAGACAAGCAGCTGAGTTGCTTTAAGTATTTTAGGACTGTCCCTTCTGCTTATATGTGAGAACTGCCTACATCTGGAATACGAGAAAGTGTTTATGCCTGGGAAGACCTGTCCATCCTTACAACTGTCCATCCGCTTTCTTGATGCTTGTCTGTGACTTGCTAGGATCAGTCCCCACCATGTTTCTGTTCGCAAGCTTAATCTAGGTATTGTGTGCAAACAAGAAAGCCAGAACCAGGAAGCATTTGGGTCTCCTGTCATCCTTGGAAGTGTGACTGCATGAAGATGAAACAACACCTTCAGAAAGTTACATCAGGGCTGGTGAGATAGCTCAGCGACCTAAGTGCCTGCTTAGGCAAGCTCGGGGACCAGGGTTCCATCCCCGGACCACACAGGCCCCGCGCCCCCGGGCACGCTGAGCCGGACACCAAGACCTGGTGTGATGGTGCACGCCTGTAATCCCAGCTCTGGGGCAGCTGAAACAGGAGGATCCCTATGAGTCCAAGCTACATAGTGAGACCCTGAACCAAATACATAAAAAAAAGTTAAATCATCATAATAAAAAGCACATTTTAAGATAATATATCTAGTAATTTACACATCCTGAACCCTGTATTTAACCTTTCCAATTTTATAGCTATGTACTTAATGCTATATCTCTGTACCTGTGAAGGGTGCATTGAACTATGGTTTTGCTTTATAGTTCAGGCTGGCCTTGAACTCACTATATAGCCATGCTGGCCTAGAACTCACAAGGGTCCTCCTGCCTCAGCCTCCTGAGTGCTGGGATTACAGATGTGTGTCACCACACCCAGCTTCTATATTTCTCAACATTTTGCCTCTTGTAACATT